ACTATTCTTATCAGCTTTGAAATACACTAAACATTTTTTTTATGGTTTTGATTGTACACTAATTACGGTAAATTGTGTAGGGATCCCAGATTTATGCCCAGACTCAAGAGCAGTTCATTGCGAGTTTTTAGAGGTTCTTCATCAAAGAACATGTTTTTTTCACGAAAAAAATTGTGATTGAGGCATGTGATGTATTGCAACAAAAGGGAAATCGTGTGATGTATTTCAACACGTCTTCCAAACTGGCAAGAATGCCTATTAATTGTCTTTTTTAACAAAAGGGAAGCTTTTGATATGTAATTGATGGCATGTGATGTATTGCAAGCGCAGGATATCATATATGAGAATACATGGAAATGTATTAAATTGATAGGATGTAAAATCAGGCAAATATGTCGTATTGGTGTTTTTCCTTCATATTGTGATTCAAAAATCTAAAAGAATACTCAAGAATGATCATCCTTTGAGATACAGACTTGGTAAAACATCTGCTTATGATGTCATTCATTGGTTGCAAGTAATAATCATAATTTTGTATGTAATCAGCTCTTGATGTGATTAATTAGTAATGTATGATGTTATGAAATGAGTTGTTTTGTTAATCTATTTCTTAATCGTTAATCTAAGTCATACGTGGGTAGGAATAGAAACATAAATAAACATGGAAAAAAGATGGTAGAGGAACATACTTGGAGACCGATCGGGTGCATTTCATTTCATATATCTATCCTTTATCTAATTACTGCATTACAATCTTTACAATGACCGAGGATCCCATATGGATCCATTTAAAAGTACTTAGTGAAGACGTACAAAATACAACAATATCATTATCCAACTTCCTGCAAATGACAATTTTAGAGTATCGTCAAGAAGGATACAAAAGGGTGGTCCGTGTACTTCATGGAAAAAGTCAGAATGATGTGATAAATATTTTATATTTGTTGTTCAAGACAATTCTTACTCTAGATTGAAGATGGTGTTTATTTGAACTAAAGTTGCGTTACTTCATGTTTACACGGGATCTAATCTTAAACATAAATATATTCAAAAAACAATCTAAAATACACGTTGTAAATTGATTTTGATTTACAGTTTTATAATCAAATTTAAAAATAATAACATGCCCCATATAATGTAATTGTATGGACTCTTAACCATAGAGATTTAATCAAAATAATTTTCAGGTTTAAAAATCGTATTAGGAATAAGCTACAAATAGTAATTGAGAGATTAAAATTCAAATTTGGAAATTAAAAACAATAAACATAGTCATAAAAAATACAAAAGAACTAGGGGTTCGAATTTGGGGTGCAAGATTAAAAGTCTCAAGGGTTTGTTTCACATCAAGGCCTTTCAGATTAGGTTTCCTTTTATGAATTTTCAGATGCATCTTTGAACATGCCATAGGGTGGATTAATAAGTCTTTCAGTTTAAAATTCAAATGAAGAAATCAAAATTGTAGAATTGGATGAATTGTACCTTAAACACAATATTACACCCCATCTTTAAGAAGCTTCAAGGCGACCGTAGTCACTTTTCCCAGATCTAATATTACCTACTGGGCTCGGTCAATGATGCATGAACACGGTTGTAACTGAATGGTATATAGGGACTCGAGTAGGGCGTGAGTAGGATAGTTTGGGGAGATGGGTTTGGAGGAATGTGTTGTGAGATCACGGTCTTCTACGTATTATAGGATCGAGATGACCGGAGTTTGCCATGGGAGGAGGAATTCTGGAGATGATGTTTATTTGCCGATAGTTAGTGGTGGTAATGTACGAAAGGCCTGGACGGGTGTAGAGGCTCTAAACACAGTCGTTTACCAAGCCCTAGATGAAGCAACGTTTAAGTGTGTCCGTGGTTATTGGGCTGTGCGTTTGTGAGCCCAAAAAATACTCCGTATTTATTAGCTTTGGTAATAGGTTGTGCGTTTGGGAGGATTATTATTACTCTATATCTAGCAACCGTCATTTATACTCCGTAACATTAATTATAGGGTCCTTAATTATAATCGATTTGATCATTCGGTTTGATTTTTTAACACATCAAACGTATGGAGTATATGTTATCAAATGTTAAAGGGCATGCCCAAAATTGTTGACCCATACCCCGCCCCATACGGGGGTCCGCCCCGCCCCGCCGTTACGTGATTAGCTACTATGCATTTCTATTTGTGTGAAATTGTTACCAGTTGATAAGATAATAGTATTAAATCAAAGTCAAAATACGATAAATTTTTCAAAAATTAAGAAAAAAGTACTTAGACTTGAATGCTTATCTATATTAATAACACAATATAAATTAAAATGCTATATATAAAAAAGATATTAATAATTCATCACTCATCTCATCCAAATATAAATACTACGTAGTAATATATTATAATACCAAAGAATTTATGACTTATTATATACACACAGGTATGTAGAAGTATATTTGTAGTATATTTTTTAAAAAAAAATATGTATACTTATATATTTACCGGGGCGGGGCGGCACTGGTCAATACTACTACCCAGACTCGGCCCATTGTATGGGCGGGGCGGACCCGCCCCATTTTCAAGTCGGGACAGGGCGGATCTACCCCAAATGTCTCAGACCAGGGCGGGTCATTGCGGGGCAGTTTGTTTTCACATGCCTAGCCTATTTAATGCTCCTACCTATGAGAAAGAAAAGAAAGGCAATCAGCACTGTACTTTAAAATATATGGAGTGTGCAATACACGTTACTCTGTAATACAAAGTAAAAATAAAAATAAAACTTCAAGGAGGTCCCCCAAATATTTCTTTCAAGAATGCACTCAACATTATGGTTATAAATACTCTTAGGTGCGGAGAATGGTTCTCACAAATCAATCTAGGACCTAACATTTCATATGTTTTGATTTATTTAATTTTTTATTAATTACATTGCTATTTTTTGATAAAGTTTTCTTCACAAAAGTTTATTATTCAATAAAACTAAATATTATTTAAAATTTTTAAAATTAAAAAAAAATTAATAAAGTTCATGACAACAACTTAGTTCCTAGATTTATGATTTTCAATCATTCAGGTCCTCAATTGATAGTTTTTTTTATCATCCGGGTCCTATATTCATATATATCATCTCTCAGGTCCTGGATTGATAATTCATCTATCTTTCGGGTCCTGAATTGATAAAATTCCTAATTAAAATTGACCTCAATCACTAACACATTTCACATAATCTCATTTTTGGCCGGGTTTCTGGATGATGGCGTTAAGGGTGGGACATGTCTGATCTCTATTGGTTTTTCGATGACATAAAAAATTATTCATAAGATATCGATTATAAAAACTAGATATCTAAAAAATTCCTTTACATTTAGTTCGAATCATCTTTCGTTAGCTCGGGTTTGGTCGAGGATCGAATAGAGCCGTTTAAGGTCCAATTGAAGAATTATCATATTTGAGTATTGTTTGATAATGTCATAACACACTTTCACACATTTGCACACCCCCTGAATTGCTAGGTTACCAGGGCAATTCGTGTAAAAAATGCAATTCGTACAAATGCATAGTCACCATATTACTTGATATGTTTATACTTAGACTTATTTCAGTCTCAGACCAAACCAAACTTAGACCAAACCAAACTTAAACAAATCAAATAAGACCATAATTGGATATTAGACATAACACATTTTCACATGTGCACACCCCCCTGATTTGCCAGGTTACATCAGCAATTCGTCTAAATAATACAATTCGTATAGATAAAGACACAACACATTTTGACATATGTGCACACCCCCCCGATTTGCCAGGTTACATCAGCAATTCGTCTAAATAATGTAATTTGTATAGATAAAGACATAACACATTTTCACATATCTGCACCCCCCTGATTTGCCAGGTTACATCAGCAATTCGTCTAAATAATGCAATTCGTATAGATAAAGACATAATACATTTTCACATATCTGCACACCCCCCTGATTTGTCAGGCTACATCAGCAATTCGTCTAAATAATGCAATTCGTATAGATGTAATGTCACCATATTATTTAGTAATTATAAAAATTTATAGTTTCAGTTAACATATATAGACCTTTGATTTGAAAATGAAAAAAATCTGTGTCAAAAGTTTACTTGAATGAATGATTTTAATAAGGGAATTTTTTTAAATATGAGTAAATAAGTTTGAGAATTCCAAAATAAACTTGTCATGTTTTTTATTGCCAAAATAGGCGTAATTAATGTCAAGCTTGAAAAATATTGTCATGCTTAAGGTCCAATTTTGGAATACATAAAACTTTTTTTTATCCTATTTAATGTAATTTCCCTTTTAACCAGGGTTAATGCTAGACAGAAGGTACAAAGAAATGTTTCATAAAATTTGCCATGGAATGTAATTTGTTTTCAAATGATGTTTATGTTGCATGTTACTTACTACTCCGTATTTTGCGGGCTATAAAAAATAATATACTACTCTGTAATCATTAGTAAATTGTAATTTATATGTTTCATTTACGTCAAGTTTTATTATTGTATGGAGTATAATTCTAAACAATTCAATTAAAATTACAAGTTTGTTTATTTTTTAATTAAAATGTTGGCTAATGTTAATTATATCTGCGGAATTTCAGCAATCGTGCATCGCACGGGTATTGATGAAGAAGAATGAATCACTGAACAAGACTCAGAATGTTGTATTCAAAAAGTGTTCAACAATGTTTAGGGTTACATGAAATGTATATTTACAATGTTATGATTTCTAAATATTTGTTTGATGTTTTTGATCTTTTAAGTAATGCTTAGTGCTCTCTTTTTAACTATAATATATATTTTAAGTGTGTTTTGTTTATTGCTTGAAGTTATATCAATATTCCATGGAGATAGATACTCTCATCAATTGATAGTGTAATTTGAATTAGTGAACACAAACAAATTTGAAGGAAAATTCTCAGACCGTGCATCGCACGGGTGAGTTTAAATAAAAGCTTACAGCTAACCATCCATCTTCTTAAATCTTCAAACTGCCTTTTCCATCTTCCTTCCATATATCCTCCACCCAGAATGCCATCTACGATCAATCGTGAATCCATTTCCACCTCAAAACCCTTAAATCCATTTTCCAACGCCATAAGAATCGACTGATGTACCGCCTTGAGCTCTGCCTCCATAGCCGAGGATGCAGTTAGGGGAAAACAGAAAGCCAACGCGAAATCCCCTGACCGAGATCTGATTACACCACCACCAGCAGCTCGGTTGTCCGTGAAGGCTGCATCCACACTCAATTTGAAATCTAAAGAAGGTAAATTCCATTTGAGAGCTTGAACCTTAGGTCTTCGATTTCTAAAATTTAAGGGCAAAAGATGTTCTTCAAAGAGAATCATACTGGGCTTTCCTAATTTGGTATTAATCAGCTTTGCTTCAGACCAAATGCGTACATAGCTCTTGATTTGGTGAATGATACTCTTAGGATTCACTTCTGCTTTCACATCCCCCCATTTAATTTGGCAGTACATTTTCCAAATGTGCCATGAAATTATTCCTGCCATGTTGTGTTTAAAGACATCAAGTAGAGTCTTAGAACCAGCTTCCAACCACCAAGCAATAAGCATCTGTCTCATGGTAATAAGTCTACTATTAATAGGAATCTCAAAAATTCCAAGAAAATATTTCCAAACTTCCCAACTTAAAGCACACTGAATTAGGACATGGTCCATAAATTTAGAATTATTTTTACAGAAAGGGCATATGGTGGGGAAAATAGACAGATTGAATCTATTCAGATTGTCAGGAAAGGGTAAAATTATATTAAGAGTCTTCCATTGAAAAGTCTGAATCCTTCTTTGCTGATACTTGTTCCAGGCATGGCTAAAAGAGAAGATGGTATTCCTTGTTCTTCTGACCTGTTCATAGGCTGAAGCTAAAGTGAAAATGCCAGAGCTTTCAGGTAACCATAAGAGCTGGCCATCTGCATCTTGCATACATAATGATTGTCCTAAGCTATTAATTTTACAGATTCTCTTCCAAATAGCTGAGTCTGTAGGCTTAGGGATCATATTAGAGCCTCTTGGATATCTAGCATGACAGAATTTTGCCCAAACTGATGTGTTATTCTTCCACTTCCACCAAAGCTTTAAAGAATAAGCCTTTTCAATATCCCCAAGGGATCTGATACCCAATCCTCCTTCACCATGAGTCAAACATAAGTCTCTCCATTTGACCCATTGATATTTATTCCTATTAGCATTGGTTCCCCATAAGAAGTGTGACATCCTTCTTTCCAAGCTTCTACTAATAGCTTTAGGCAGAGTATCAACAGCTAAGATATGCAAAGGAAGTGTATTAAGAACATGTTTAATAAGCACTAACCTGCCTTCAAAGCTGAGATTTCTTTGCTTCCAAGTAGTTAACTTCTTATCATAAGACTGCAGAATACCATGACAATAATTTTTTCTGTTTACACCTTTGTGCAGGGATGAACCAAGATACCTCATAGGCAGGTTGTTCTTATTCATACCCAGAATTCTCTCCATGTTCCTGATTCTAGGTAAGGAGGTTTTCCCACACCCAAAGTTGCTTTTATCAAAGTTTATAGATTGCCCAGAAGCTCTTTGATAAAGACCCAAAAATCTTTTAAAATTCTGAATAGATCTTGCCTCCCCGTTTAAAAAAACCAAGATATCGTCAGCAAAACAAAGATGAGTCACTGATTGACCAACTGGACCAATCCAATAGGGTTTAATGGAATTAGAAGAAACCAGGCTCTTTAGTCCTCTAGAAAGGGCTTCAGTTGCGATAATAAATAGGTAGGGAGATAGAGGGTCTCCCTGTTTTTACTCCCCTGTGAGGCTGAAAAAACCCTTTGGGTGAGCCATTTATAAGCACTGAGAAATGTGTAGCTTTGAGATGATTCATCACCAGATTAGTAAAACCATCAGAAAATCCAAACTTATAAAGAATTGCCTGTAAGAAAGCCCAAGATAGCCTATCAAACGCTTTAGCCATATCCAGTTTAACAATGATATTGGTACCTCTGATTTTTTTGTCAATTGAATTTATCATCTCTTGAGCAACCAATATATGATCTGAAATGTCTCTTCCCTTCATAAATCCAGCCTGTTCAATTGAAATCAATTTGGGCAAAATCTTCATAAGTCTGCTGGCCAGTATTTTAGTGCAAACTTTGTTAACAAAGTTTGACAGGCTGATTGGTCTAAAATCTGCAAAGGTAGAGGTGTTCTCTTTTTTAGGAATAAGGATAATAAGAGAGCTACCCATAGCTTTAGGTATGGCATTTCCTTGGAAGAAATCTTGTACTGCCCTAGTAACATCATCTCCCACAATTGTCCGACAATGTCTAAAAAAGACACCATTGTAGCCATCAGGCCCTGGAGCACTATCTTTATCCAAGTCCCAAACTGCTTTTTTAGTTTCTTCATGTGTAGGAAGAGTCATCAACTCATGATTGTCATTATGATCTACTAACTGAGGTATATATTGCAGAATGGTATCAACATCCTGGATCTCCTCTTCCGCAAAAATATCTTCAAAATATTGAACTGCAGCTTTGCCAATATCATCAGTCTTAATACACAGATTTCCATAAGAGTCTTTAATGGCAGATAAGTGTTGCATTCTTCTCTTCACATTCACGTAGGCATGATAATACCTGGTATTTGAGTCACCCTCTTTTAGCCACTTCAAACGAGCTCTTTGCTTCCAAAATTCATTCTCCTGTTTGTATTTATTGAGCAAAAGAGCTTGTTTATAAGACCAGTTCTCCTTGTTATCCTCAGTTGTATTAGTTTCATATAAGGCTTCAGCCTCAGCTACCTCAAACTCCAGTTTCTGAATGTCATGGAATATATTCCCAAAAGAATCTTTATTCCATAATCTGAGAACCTGTTTAAGAGACTTTAGTTTGTTACATAAGCCTCTCATACCTCCAGAAGTTGGAAATGACCTCCATGCATCTTCGACAACTCCAAGGAAATTGGCATGTGAAATCCACATATTTTGGAACTTAAAAGGTTTAGGCCCCACCACTAATTGGTTTTTACATTGCAGGAGGATTGGAGAGTGATCAGAACATGTCTTGTTGAGATGTTTAATATAAATGCTATCATAGATTCCCAAGAAAGAGGGATTAAAGAGAGTTCTGTCCAGCCTACGCCAAACCCTTCCATTAGCTCTAACCCCAGACCAAGTAAATTTAGATCCATGGAAAGGTAAATCAATAAGATCACAATTAGCTAGGCAGTCTTTAAACTCAGTCATACTACTTTGCAAAGGCATAGAATAACCTTTATGTTCATCTTGATTAGCAATAGCATTAAAATCTCCCCCAACAAACCAAGGGTCTTTATTATTATCAGCCCAATCCAGCAAATATTGCCAAAGCATTCTCCTCTCAATGTAGCTATGACTCCCATAAATTGCTGTAAACCAGAAGTTAAAAGCCCCGGCCTGAATTTTCATGTGGATGAATTGATTCCCAGTAGAAAAATCAGTGATGTCAATTGTAGACTTATCCCAGAACAACCAAATTTTGTTTTCAGGACAAAAGAAAAAAGAGTTTAATCCCAATTGCATAGCAATCCCAGTAATTTTTGTAGAAGAGACTATAGGTTCAATAATAACCAATAAATGAACATTCCACTGTCTAATAAGATCTCGTAGCCTTGGACAGGAAGAAACAAGGCCACGAGTATTCCATATGATACAATTCATCATGGAATTGCAGAAAAAGCTTGGGCCAGCTTTTTTGCTGCATTCCTAGTAATTCTAGGAGTGACTGGAACAACCTGAGCAGGCTGTTTCTTTTTTTTCCTTGCTACAGTAATAAAACCTTCACTGTTATTATTGGCTTGAGAATCCAGGTTTGCTAGAAGATCTGCATCAGCCTTCTCATTGGGAACTTGTGAAAGCAATGCCCTCACCTTCCTGGTATGATTCTGATGCCCATCCATCCACTTTTGTTTGCTGTCAATAAAACATCCATCCCCATCCGATGAATAACCTTTTGCAGATATAGAAGGGTCATAATTTTTAATTTTGGTTATCTGCATTAGATTATAGTCATCCTTGGCCCTATTAACCAGGAAAATCTCTGAAGAAGGTATCCCATCAACGATGGAATCTTTTGAATAAGGTTGTTTGAATTCTGCAATACCTATATCGTTCCCCAGAATGTCAACAGTTTCAGTAAAAACCTCTTCAATTTCTGTTTCAGTGTCTATATCATCATTGTGAATTTGAGCACCCGTGGAGGATGATGGAATATCAGACACATCAACTTGCTGGATAACAGGCTCCTGATCAATCGCTTTTCCTTTCCCTTTATCCCTAGGTTTTTGCTGCAGATTGGAGTTTTGTTCTGTAATCTTCCCATTATCTGCCAATTTCCCCTCTCCCTGCTGCCTAATATCAGTATTCTTCTTATGAGTATGAAATTGTGTAATGGGTTTAGCCACCCACTTCTCATTGCTTGTAGTTCCAGTAGATCCACCACTCAGAGTATTCCCTTGATTATTTGGTTTCATCGGACATGTATTGAAGGAATGCCCAAGATGAAAACAATGACCACAGTACAGAGGTCTGTTTTCATAAAACACTGATTGGAAAAAACCTCGGGATCCACATTGGATCCAAACCCTATTTGGCATCTCTTTAGAGAGATCCAATTCCACACAAACTCTGGCCAAAGATGGCCGAGATAAAGATGCTGTAGCAGCATCGATCTTCAGGGGTCTTCCAATTAAGGCAGCGATGTCAAAAAGAGCCCTCTGATCTTGGAGATTAATTGGCAGACCTTCAAAGCTTAGCCAAATTGGGACAACTGGAGATTCAACATTAGGTTCAAAGTCCGGCGTCCACTTGGCCACACGCATAGCGTTGCCAAAAATATCCCACACCCGTCTATTCCAACATCGGAGGTAATCATCCTCCAGATCAAAACGTAGGAGCAAATGTTTTTTGTCCAAAATGCCAAGATGAAATTTCCCTTTGAAACCAATAAGTTCAAATGCTTTACGCAAAGTAGGCATAGATGGCCGTCCCTTAAAAAAATAACCAACTAAGGCTCTCCTGTGTTGGGCAGCAAGAACCTGAACATCCTCGTCAGGGAAGGCCACAGATGGTACCCCTTTATACCTAAAAGGTGTTTTCTTCGTCAAGGAAGGCGCAGATGGTTCCCCAGCAACCACAGAAGCAAAAGATTTTCCTCCCCAGGCTTGGATCACCGACGGTTTTGAGGGTGGAGGAGCCCCCTCCGATCGTGTTTCTATCATTCGAAGTCGCCAAAATCGCCAGCCCCACCTCGCGATACGTCCCCTAACAATCTCATACAACATCATTATGAACTCATCTAACATTTATTTAGGTAATCTCATAATTAACCCAAAAGTTATAAGATATTAAGCCGTCCACTCACCTTGAACTAGCGTTATGAAGTTCTACCCTTCTTGGTTGAACTCCGGTGAAACTCCGGCGACTTTTGGTCAACTCCGGCGACAATTCCGGCGACTTTTCCAACTTTGTGAAATCACTTGAAATACCCTTTACAAGTGCCTAACAAGGTTTTAACATCATAAAACCTTAATCAATACAAATAACCTATAAAAGGTTATTTTCCAGTGAACCGGTCGTTTTGACTTCTAAATCCGTTCTTGGACTTAGAACCACCTTTCAACCCATTATTCCACACTCTTATCATGTAGAACAATCTCAGGGGTTCTACATATGATATATATATATATATATATATATATATATCATATGATGGAAGGAAAAATAGAGAAAAATTTATGATAAGGTTATCACCTTAATTTCCACACTTTTAGCACTTTAATTCCTTTCTTGAGGTCCTTCCTTGTAGAGCTCTCTCCAAAAATGGAGAATGAAGGATGGAGGATTTTCCTTTGCTCTTTCTTGGGTGTTGGCCGCAGGGATGAGGGAGAGAGAGGTGGGGAGATGGTCCTTTTGTCTCAAAGATCAAATGAGGGTGGATGGGGGTCCACCTCATTTTGTTTGATGCTTTTTCTTTCAACTCAAAAATCCTCCCCCATGTTTCCCATTCCAACCAGCCGACCAACCCATTACTTTGGGTTGCTAAAAACGTGGGTTGGCCCCCACACATGTGGGAGGTCAACCCTCTTTGTCCAGAAGTGTACAGTTTGCCCCGAAAGTTGTATTTTTCAGACTGTTTTAAATATATATTATTTTATCGGGTAAAATAGAATATATTATGTGTTCCCAATAATAACACCACTTTGAAATAATATATGCTCCAAAACTTAAATTTGGAAGCCTCTGAAATTCATTTCCGGGCGGTTATCTGTTAATTTGTCAGTACCGGTAATTAGGCCTCTTTTGACCAATCGGTCAACTCTGGGCCTTTCCAAGACCCAAATAAAATATCCACCACCATATAAATATTATCTTTACCAAGATGAATAAGATATGTGGTCTCGGAAACGTTGGGTGGCCCCCGCTCCCGATGTGGGTCCCACGTGCAATTTACTATTCACGCGAAAGACATAATAAAAATTTACAACTTCGTAAATTCATTAATCCTTTAATAAGGTTCAATACATTATTTACATAAAAGTAAATATATTTGGGGACAGTGTTACAAGTTCACCCCCCTTATTTGGGATTTCGTCCCCAAAGTCCAAGTATCTAATCGAAAAGAAATGGGTATTGCTCCCTCATTGAGACTTCGGTCTCCCACGTTTCTTCTTCGACCCGATCACTTCTCCACAGAACCTTTACCATAGGAATCTTCTTGTTCCTAAGTTTCTTCACTTGTTGACCTACTATCTTCACTGGCTCTACCGCATATTGCAAATCCTCATGGATCTCTACCGGCGGTTTCTCGAGAATATGAGATGGGTCCCGTATGTACTTTTTGAGCATCAATACATGAAACACGTCATGTATCTTCTCAAGTTCTGGTGTTAACTTGAGACGATAAGCCACGGCCCCAATCCTTTCAAGGATCTCAAACGGACCAATGTATCGAGGGTTAAGCTTTCCCCTCGATACGAATCGGATGATGCCCTTCCAAGGGGAAATTCTTAGGAAGACTTCATCACCGACTTCGAACTCCAACGGTCTCCGCCGTTTATCAGCATAACTCTTCTGTCGGTCATGGGCAGCCTTCAGTCTATCCTGAATGATCCTCACCTTGGCCTTGGTGATCTCCACTAGTTCTATCCCTTCGAGTTTGGCCTCGCCAACCTCGTCCCAACACAACGGTGTTCGGCATTTCCTCCCATACAATGCCTCATATGGAGGCATGCCGATACTTGCCTGATAACTGTTGTTATAGGCAAACTCCACCAGAGCCAAATGTTGGTCCCAACTTCCTTGGAATTCCAGGGCACACGCCCTAAGCATGTCCTCCAAAATCTGTATCACTCGCTCGGACTGTCCATCCGTCTGTGGATGAAAAGCTGTGCTAAACTTCAGTTTAGTTCCCAACGAGGCTTGAAACTTTGGCCAAAATCGGGATGTGAATCGTGGATCCCTATCCGAGACAATGGATATCAGGACTCCATGTAATCTCACAATCTCCTTCGTGTATAGCTTAGCCAATCTTTCAAGAGGATAAGTAATGTTGATAGGCAGAAAGTGTGCACTCTTGGTGAGCCTATCATCCACTACCCATACTGCATCGTAGTTGTTCACTGTTCGTGGCAGCCCCACCACGAAGTCCATGGTCACATGTTCCCACTTCCATTCTGGGATGGTGAGTGGCTGCAAAAGTCCCGCCGGGTGCTGATGTTCTGCCTTAACTTGCTGGCAAGTAAGGCATCGACTCACATACTCTGCGATATCTCTCTTCATACCTGACCACCAGTAACTTTCCTTCAAATCTCGGTACATTTTAGTACCTCCCGGATGCATGGCATAAACTGAAGAATGAGCCTCCTCAAGTATAGACTTCTAGAGTTCTTCATTCTTTGGTATGCATACACGATCCTTAAACAATAGTAAACCGTCATCACGTACTCAGAAGTTCTCAACGGGTCCTTCAAGGACCCGTTCACGAATCTTTTGACACTCGTCATCAATGGCCTGACATCTACTGATCTCACCTACCAATGTAGGCCTAACCTCGAACCTAGCAATGAGCACTCCGCTCGTGGACACCCCCACGTGTGCCCTCAGTGTTTGTAGACAAGTAAGTAACGTCCCCGACGTACTCTTCCTGCTCAGTGCGTCGGCCACTACATTGGCCTTTCCGGGATGATAGTCGATGATCAAGTCATAGTCCTTGATCAACTCCATACATCTCCTCTGCCTCATATTCAACTCTTTCTGAGTGAATACATACTTCAAGCTCTTATGATCTGTATAAATGTGACATGTCTCCCCGTAGAGATAATGTCTCCAAATTTTTAGTGCAAACACTACCGCCCCCAATTCTAGATCATGGGTAGGGTAGTTCACATCGTGTTTCCTCAATTGCCTAGAAGCATAGGCAATCACCTTACCGTTTTGCATCAGTACACATCCAAGCCCTTAGATGCTAGCATCGATGTATATATCATACCCTATCCCCTGTATGGGTAGGGCAAGGACTGGTGCTTCGGTAAGTCGTGTCTTCAGTTCAAGGAACCCTTTCTCACACTTGTCGTCCCATATGAACTTGGCCCCTTTCTTTGTGAGCTTCGTTAATGGAGACGCCAATACAGAAAATTTTTCAACAAATTTACGATAGTATCCCGCTAAGCCAAGGAAACTACGTATCTCTTTCACATTCTTGGGTCTCTCCCAATCCATGATAGCCTTTATCTTGGCGTTATCCACAGCAACGCCCGAACCGGATATGACGTGACCGAGGAACCCAATCCCTTTGAGCCAAAATTCGCATTTAGAGAACTTGGCAAAGAGTTGCTTCTCCCTTAGCCGATTAAGTATAAGCCCCAAATGATGTTCGT